TTTATCTATCTTTTCTTTTAAGAAAGCATATTTAAANAAAATCATTGTTTTTCTTAATTTTTTTAAATTTATTTTTAAAAAATCCATTTTAAGGGGGCCCCTAATCAAAGGGGGTCCCAGGTCAGGCCTAGTCTGACCTAATGAGTAATCCGGCACTGCCAAGTAGCAATTTTCTTAAATGACACATTCTACATTCTTTCACAAAGATTTTCAATTCTTTCACTATATATTTCTTACTTAGCACAAAGACAGGCACGAAGCCACGTGGTACATAAACAAACTAATTATGCATCGAAGTTGGCAGGTACACAAAGAAAAATATATCACGGTTACATTAAAATACATAACAAATAATAAATCTAATTTAAGTATAAGACGAGAGAGAATTCTATTGTAACAAATTTGATGGGCGATACGGCACTTTAACTAACCTCACATTAATTAACATTCTAACGTGTGGAATAACTTAGCTAAACTTTAACACGTCATTTTACGTATGAACGGTCAGCTGGTGTCATTGATCACATGTGTGGTTATCGGTGATTTTCTTCTTGAAGTATAAGTACCCAATTCGATTGTTCCTGATCATTTGAAAAGCCTAAATGTTTTATCTAAAAGCTCGATATACAGATTTCTCATGCACTTGCAGATTAAAATTTGTGATTTGCTTTTCAAACGTCAACAACAACAAAAAAACAAACATCCATTTTTAAAGCGTAGGTACAAGAAATCGGTTGTCTACAACGATGTTCCGGTTTCTACAAAATCTTTTAGAAAACCTTTACTTCAAATAAGAAAGTCAAAAATCATTTGGATCAGTTTTTTTTTTATTGGGCACCACTAATTACAAAAATTTTATGCGCGTAGAATCATACTATTGCCAGAAGGGAGGATAAAGGTATTGAACCAGAACGGACAGTATATGATGTAATATAATATTTATTTACTACAAGAAAATTGTCTTTTATTTCCACCAAAAAAAAAAAAAAAAAAAAAAAAACGAAATTGCTTTCCTAACAACCTAACTTAGGTCTTCAGTTTGATACACCTTTTTTCTCTTTGAAAAACTTCATTATTAACATACTGAAAATCTTTATGTTCGTTTCTGATTTTTTGACCAACTCCAATTTTTTTTTCTTTAAATGTCTCGCAAAATTACATTTCTTTTTGTTTATTAAAAACTTATCTGATTTGCAAAAATGATTTATTCCTCTATCTTTTTTATAAAAATAATTTTATGTTATTTTTTAAAGAAATATATTTAATATACACACTTTTTGGGGTTTTTTTCATTTCAAATTTTATGCAGGAAAAGAAATGAAAAGATGAATTTACTTTATCTAAAATAAGCTCAGTGCAAAAAACCTTAAATTTTTTCAACTCTATGAAAGAATCAAAATCCTTAATATTTTAAAAGTAAGACAATCTTGAAAATTTTTTTTTCCTTTTAAAATTTATTTGCATGCATATTCATGTAAACGTATATTTTTATGAGACAACCAGAAATAACCGTTAAAAATGTCAAGTTTCATCCTATTAATAAGAAAAGAAATTTGCAACTCTAGGTTTAGGTATCTCTTTTATCCTTTCACATAAGATTGATGAATCATTGTCTTATAGTCGCGGAAGATAATATCAAAAGCTTAATAACCTCAAGGTTGAAAATTCCAAATGATAATTAAGTTAAAAATTCTTCTATATTATTAATGAGACAAAACGGTTGTCAGTTGAATGGGTTATAAAACCCTAAGATTAGAACAAAAAAGAAGAAATAAAAAAAGGCTTAGAAACTATTTCGTATCGGAATTAATTTGCCTTTATGTTAAGCTTTTAAACTTTAACCGATATGCCATTAATACTATCTTTTGTAAAACACCGGTTTTCAGTCAGTAATTATTCTCCAAGTTCATTGTTATATATACACAAAATCAAACAAGGAAATAATTATTATATTGGGAATAGCGTTACATTATGTAAAGATTTTATTATTAATGATAAAAATTTTATTATTAATTGTAAAAATTTTGTACCTAGCTTAGGTTCCATTCATTATTATGCTTAGAGATGTTGATAGTTCAGCATGGATGTTTTGTGACTGATTCTGGCAGTGTGGTTAGCTGGTTGTGTTTTTTCTTTCAACAACCACTATCTTCTCTGCCCTAAGCAGATCACTTGTTGTCATCCACTTATACCTTGGATCCTTAAAATCTTAATTATGCTTGCATGGTTAGAAAAGAAGATAATTGTAAGTATAAATCTTTTTCCCCCTTTAATCTGTTGTTTTTAAAATGGATGATGTGACATAGTTTATCAGGATTATTCTTTTTGTGCATGATACATATTGAACTGTTATGTACCAATTCGTTACAACTTTAGAATGCGACAACAGAAGTACCCCCCCCCCTAAATAAAATCTAAAAATCCTCCTATCTATGAATGCCACAAAAATCAGGAGTATTTCAGGTATTCAGGAGCATTTAAGTAAAATCTCAATTTTTGTGAAAATGTAAAAAATCTACTCACAATAAATCACAAATATCATTAATATGTTCATGCTTTTTGTGAAAAAATCTTGTTTGTGCATGAAAAATCTATTCAGAATTTTTCACTACCTTAAGATGTTTTTTCCCTTCCTGTCAGGATCCTGTTTTTATGGGGAGAGGGATTTCACAAAAATTATGTCGTTCACAGAATGACGAAACAAAGATATAAAATTAAGATTTAAATCATTACATAGAATTCTTTTTCCAAAAAAAGAAATTTGCAAAGGGTCCCTTTTTAAAATAAAACAAATATTGTGAAGTCCTTTTTTGTAGTAAAATATTTTTGTAATTCTTAAAGGAGCCAAATTTCTTTAAAAATGACCTTTAAAATGCCATATAAATAATAACCTTTTCTTTAAAGAAAAATATTTTACTGAATGCAGTGTAAATATCTTTATTATTTCATTTTTAATAACATTTTGTTAAACATTTCCCAGGACAAATTAACGTTGGAAGTAAATCAATCCTATAGACTTGCATACTTTATTCAGTGCCTGGTTGTTTGGAGCATAAGTGGGAATATTAATTTTGAAAAATCAATTTCATTATTAACTGTGAATTTTACTAAAAAGAATATTTAGTGGAGTTCAGGTGACTAGACTTGTCTTTGAACTAAAATAGGTTTAGAAATGGAATCATTACGCATTCAATTCGTATGCAATTGTCCCACTGATTATAAATGCGCTTTAAAATTTAATTCACGATTCAAAATTTCTTGAACCAAAAATTATTTTGATTAATAAAAACAATTTTATTTTTCAAATTTATTTCTCATATGATTTTAGCTCATTCATTCAATGTAAATTATTTTAATTATATAATGCATTTAAGTTCAGGAAAGGTGTTCCATAAAAACACCTGAAACCCCCCCCCCTCAAGATAATTTAATTTTTAATGTAATTTACGACTTCTTGATAATGTTCTACAGGCTTTTTAATGCATCCGAGATATCTCAATTAAAAATTGATTTGTAATTTATGTTCAGAAATTTCTGGAACAGAAATTTGTTTTTACTAAGTTAAATTATCTTTTGATTAATTAAAATAATTATTAACGTTTACCTTTATGCCGCTGCTATTCTGGATCATGAGTACCCGCCGTAAGCTAAAACCACTTATAAAAATCAGAGGATAATAATCATCAGTCAGTGCATTTTCATTGGATAGATAAATCACATGGTATGCTCACATGAAGTTCAAAATTTCTTAGTTGCCTTTAGCATAAAACTAAAAAAAGTTACAACCATATCTTACTTATAATATAGTTCTTTATCTCTTCTAATATAAAGGTATGAAAGTGTAATATTTATTTATTATCTTTTTAGTACTTGTAGATATTTTTATGAATTTGATTTTGATCATTATTTAACATTAAAAGTTGAAAACTAATGTTCTTTATAGTAATGTTGTTTCTTTATAGTAATCTTTACATAATATGATGTTACCTTATATATGATGATGTTACATTTTAAGTTGGTATTTAATCTTATACAGTGCTTTATAATTATGAAACAGTAAATAAGTCATAATGACTTTTACGTTTAGCTGTGTCTAAAACTGTATCCAGTCATGAAAAATTACAAAATTTAAATATAAGATTGTAAGACACCCTCAGGAATGAATTTTTCACACTTTTTGTAAAAAATGTCCTTGATGAAAACATTTTCTTAAATGAGTTTTTATAGCAGAAAATAATTAAATTAAAAAAAATATGTATGAAGTTCTAGTTGTTAACAAGTAAAAAGATTTAAGTTCAAAAATTTAATTAAATTATTTAAAAATTGTTAAGTTTAAAAATTTATATTTATAGAATTAGGAACTAAAATTTATGAAACTGAATCTATGTTCATAAAGTCATCTGAATCTGTGTGGGTCGTGATCCTTCTTAGATAACTATATAAATAAGTTAAACTTAATGTGCTAACATATTAAAATTGGTAATATGCTGCAGAAAATATTTTCTTTTTATTTTCAAAATGGAATTTTTTTAGAACTTTTTATGTAATAGCAAAATTTTAAATTAAGTGCATTTGCTATTTCTCATTTATTAATATTTTAGCAAGTAACCTATAATGCATGAAAATCTGCCTTATTTTACAATAGAGAATCATGATAATTAACAAAATAAGAAAAAAAAGACTTGATACTTTTAAATCAAGAGCCTTAGGAACATTCGAAAACTTTACTAGAGAGTTAAAGTTTTTCACTTGATATTTCACAAAAAAACTAACAAGAACTAGAATTACCTAGACTAACAAATATGATGCATATGGTCTTAGGTAGGATTGACTGGAGGTTGGTTGGTAGGAGATTGACTAGCGCTGCATATCAAAACTGGTTTCATGCATGCATCACACAGTTTATTTGTTAGTTTCATATTCAATCGTAATAAATTTACACACATGTAAAATAATTTTTCAAATTATTTTAGACAATTACATACATTCAAATAAACATCTTAGTCCAATTTGATCTTTATTCTTGCTCATAATCAATGGTTCAATTAGAAATTATATGTACAGAAATATTTACATAGAAATTGCATTTATTAACATCACAGTTCAATTTTCACATTTTCAGTTGCACTTCCAGTTGGAGCAGCTAAAATAGAAATAAAATTTTAACGTAATTAGAAATTTAAAATTAAAATGCTGCAATGTTAGCAAAAAAAAAAAAAAAAACATTGCACTTTTTTGAACCTACACCAAAAACAAGAACCTGCCACTTTAATAATTGGAAGTTTTAAGCTATTGATGTGGTTTCAATGATTTTAAACTTGTTTTCCAGCACAAAAAAAAATTTCTTAATGCATGTAGTTATGTTTACCTTGTTAAGTTATGTTGACCTTGTATTTTTATTATGTATGAAACATTGACTGTACAATGCAGATGGAAAATCCAGAATGATTTTTGATCGTGTTTTCATGAATTAAGAATCAATCTTAAGTTTGTGGGACTTATTTTAAATATGCTAATTAGAACAGATATTTTAAGTTAAATATTGTCCGTACCAATCAATCATTGTACTTATTATGTCATACTTAGTGCTAATTATTGTCTGCAGATTTTACGCAGTAAGACACAAAATTCTTTTTTTATGAATAAAATTTTTGTTGTTGATAGATTCAAATTCCTTACCATTAAAATATGGGGGCAGCGATCTGGGAAATATCGCCCCAATAGAGTCAGGAGAGCGGTCGAACGTTTGGACCCCTTAATGTTAATTTTACTTTCTGTGATCATATCTCTAGAATCTTTGCACACAAATAAAATCGTTTATCCAACGATAATTCCATTTAAAAATTAAATTTTAATAATTATTTATTATTATTCTGTTTAATGATAGTTTGAAAGTTTTGGAATTGATAGGTATAAAAATTTTTACAGACTTTTTAAATTTTTTTTGAATATTAAAAATTTAAAAGAAATCCTTAGAATAGATCGTGTGAAATCAAATTTTAAATATAAAACTTTTTTATAATTTGATAGCTTAGAAACTCTATTACCATTACCACGTTAGTATTAACCAATATAAAAACTTACATTACAATACCAAAAAATTAAATGAATTAATCTAACTCTCAATACTTTTAAATAAGTATGGACAGTTAGATTAAGTGATGAAAAAGCTAGCAGTATGTCAAAAAGTCCAACGCTAAATGAGTAGCGAGCATTATTTCTTCGCATTAATCCAAGCCAAGACTGCACACAAGGGCGTTTCAAGCATCTTTCACCACATTGACCGTTATGTATATCTTATGTTTGAGACTTTAATGTATATCTTATGTTTGAGGCTCAATATCTCGGAAACTATAATTTTAGGACTTTGTGTCAATGAGAACTTTTAATCCGAATGTTTTGAACTGCAATTTATTAAATTTTCAGTCAAAATTTCACAGAAAACAAATTTTAATAAGATTTGTGTTGCTGTATCTTTTATAGGGACATCTTTACTAAATAATTTAATATAGTTTGTAATTCCCAGGAGTTAAAGTAGAAGAACAACACACTTCAAAATAAAATGCTGCATGTAATAAACAACTAAATACTTAATTATGGATAAATATTTCATGAAATGGTTGATATATTACCGGTGACTAAGAGCTTTGCAGGTGGAGACGTCAACGTAGGACTGTCGGCATCTCCAGTCATTTCACAAACCCATTCTCCGCTATCTCTCGCAAGCTGAACGGAAGAAATATGCAGGCTGCAATCTCCATTGAGGTGGTTTCCTCTCCAGCTGTAATGTTGGTATCTATCCAAGTTATATCCAATATTTCTGCCATCCTTTATCCACAAGCAGTCACCAATAGGATTCTCCACAACGCATTCCAATGTGACAGCTGAGTTTTCTTCTAAAGTTTGAGAGACTGGAGTCTGAACAAATGCTTGACCTCCTGAAATTTTATTATTTATAAGTTTAAAATTGATTCGAAAGTTGTTTTTAAATAGATACATGACTAAAAAGTATGTTTTACAAGTAGGCCATTGATTGTAAAAATGAATTATTTCCTTGTACAAGACTTTTTCATCTTTTAAAAATGCGGTAATAAGATAAACACAATTTTATATATAAAAATATGTATCGACAAATTTATACAGAAAAACATGAAGTATTTACATAGAAATTGAAATACAATGTCACAAATTTATTAAAAATTGTTCACTAAAGAGTAATAAAAATATAACTTTGGTGAAGTTAAGAAAATAGTATTGGATTTTTTATTTCTTTATTTTTTTAAAATCCAGAAACAATTCAATGTGTTTTGTTCTTATTCCATAGATCTAATGAAAAATTAAAATTTATAATTTAAAGGAATGTGGGGAGAAAAACAAAAAATTATGGAACAAATTAATGAATAATTTTACACTGTTAAACCCAATCTAAATTTACAAGCCAAATAATTACTACAGAAACTTAATGCTAGATTATATAATGTCAGAAAAATTTAAATAATAACATAATACTAACACAATGCATAAACATAATACCAGTATAACTCTTAATAAAAATAAATATTTTATTTCATGTTATATTAAGGTAATATTTTCTTTTAAGTAAATAACAAAAATTACAAAACTGAAAACTTGAGTGATATATTAATTTAAAAATGCATTACCAAAAAGTTAGAATAAAAAAAAGTATGCGCATAGTAATTACGTGTGTAAAAAGTGCTAAAGTTAAAGATTAATTTTTTTCATTTGACATTTTATCTTACTCCTAAGCCATCCTACTGAGAAGGATAAAATTTGGCACACTGATAGTTTGAAGCACAAGGAAGGTTACTGTCAACATTCTACTTCCAATTGGTTAAGCATCAGTCATTATTTTAAATTGAACTATAGACAATTCTAAGTTTTCAAATATTTTAACGATAACGTGAGAGATATTTGGTGGCCTATAGCTTTATTTGATAAAAAAAAACAAGTAATAGCATCATGTCAAGTACAGTAAATCCTTATTCTGACGAAATAAACTACAAGCACATGTTTTGTTTAATCTAATAATGTAAAGCCACTGAAAAAGGCAACAAACAATAATAAATTTTTAAAATTAGTTTAGCTTTATTAATTGTGTCGGTATATGCCTTTCACTGTTGTGCATGATTTTGTAGAGTTGTTCAGTACTAAAATATTGATTATTTTTTTTATAAACCCTGAATGGGTATTCCGGTACGAGAGTATGGGTATTCCGCTAGAATATAAATAAAAAATAAATACCTATTTTAACAGGTACGAGAGTATTGGTAACAACTCCTGTCAAAAACTCTTGCAAAACTAGCAGATTCTGGGCATCAGTAGTTTTATCACTTGTGCAATTGAGTAAAGAAGTATCCAACCACGAACTTTTAAGCTGTATAAAATACAAACATAATGTATTTCGCACCCTTTATTTACCTTTTTGCAATATTTAAATAAATCATTCAAATAATAATGAAGGGAAAAAACTCAAATCTCAATAAAATTTATTAAAAAACTTATTGACAAAGCATTGCCATATCACCAGAATTAGTATGAAATATTAATTTAAAAATAATATTTTTGATATTTTTTCAAAATTAAAAAAATATCAGTACTGACAAATAATGATAGATATTTTTAAGTTTTAACTATTGTCCCACTGCTTTGGAAAGAAAAGGCAGTAAAAGACGAGAACGAAAGAGAAATAGAAAAAGCAGAATAATTTTTTTTAAAATCTTGAGTAAGTACAGGTTAATAATCGAAAAAGCTAGTAAAAGGGTCAAAAACATAAGTTAACTTATAAAAAATGAGTTTTTTGTCAATTAATAAGGAAATTTGTGTTGATCATATTTTATGGCACTGACAGCAACACTGCAGAATTTCTATAAATAGAGATACTAGTACATATCTTATCGATACTGTGCCTTACTCTTTAACAAAGATCCTCAGGAAGTAATACCTACTTTACCCCAAGTGAGATAAAGTGGGTATGAAATCAAGTTTCTTTTTTAAGGAGGGCTATAAAACCAAACTAAATAAATTTATTTCACCAAAACTTTTTATATACATTCATGCTATACATCATGCTTTTTATATACATTGGATTCTTACAGATTAAATATGAAGTATAACCTATCTATTTTGGTTGATTGTTTTCTTACAGTAACACATTTAAAAGAACATGTTTTGATACACCCACTTTACTTTTGTTAAATTNTTGATACACCCACTTTACCCCAGAGTGGGGTAAAGTCTGCATAGTTCTAAAACTAGTATGTATTTCATAAAAAAAAAAAAAAAACATTTGTAAATATTGTTTTAGAATTAAAAATGCTATTAAATTCGTTTCTTGAATATATTTCTTCAAAAAAGGGCTAAAAAATAATTTTTTTTACCAAATTATTAAATTAAAGAGTTGATAGTCATGGCTATTAAAATTAGGTTTCACTTAGGAAGCAGTATATTTTGCTGAACTCCACACAATTTCATCAAAAAGCATTCACAGGTTGAGGAAGTTTGAATGACAGGATGCCTTTAACTTCTCTTTTTAAATATAGTGCAAGAACATGTTAAAAATAAAACAGTTGTGACATTTATGTACAAGGCCCACCATTAAATACAATCCCATTAATGCTTGCAGGTTTTGATTCTAATAAATTAACTGAATACTTACTTAGAATAATAAATCAGTAGCATTTCCTTAGTTTTGCTTGGCATTACAAGCTTAAATGCACTTTAGGATTCAGTAGAAGCAAATTTAGAAAATTTAAATTTTAAATGGGAATCATAATTGAGAAAGTGAAACTATATTAACTAACATTTAATATTGATATTAAAGTAACAGTAAAGTCTCTTCTCTGTACTGATTCTATGTTAATAATGGTTTAGATAAAAATAATTTACCAATCACTCCCAATCCCCAAAGAAATCACTCCCTCACTTGCGCATGAAATTTCCACATTCTGTCAAATCTCATATTCTTATTAAATGATGAAAAATAATGTCTTTTAAGTGAAGTTGTAAATAACAAAATGCATATTGTTATGTAACACCAGATAGTTTTTAGAAAAGCAATGCAAAACATTGCCTCTAGGCATTTATGACTCTTTGACTTAATCTCATTTTCAGCAAATTTTTATGAATAATGATTGATTCATAGAAATTCGCTGATTCAGATATCTCTTGTTATGAGTCTGATAATCAAAGAAATTTCAATGTTATCACATATAAATGGTTCTATTCTTCGAAGTTAGTGGACAATAATTCCACTAACCAGTGAGTTTACAAATTGGGAAGCACTATACATTATAACTTTTTTTTAACAAACTATAGATTATGTCAGAAGCAAGGGAAAATTGATTTATGTCATATTTTTAGATATATTCATTTTAGCAATATCAATACTGCCCACAAAATTCAATTTTTCAAAAAGAGACATATACCATCATATTTTTGTAATTATTTAATTAAATTCATTTTTATTCCTTAAATCTTAGACATATCTTGTTAGGAACAGATAAGTTTAATTTTTTTTAAATAAATAAAAAAAAAGAACACATAAGCATGAACAACATATATTGTAACGAATAATGAAAATATTTAACATACTGTAGTAATATTTAAAGCTCCAAAAGCTGGCAGCTTGTTTGGAATCCCTAAAGTTGTCTCTAACTCATCCATAACCTAAATAAGATATTAAGCATATTAATTATTATTAAATAAAACGGTTCACAATATTCATTATAACATCCAACTTCAGTAAAATGAAATTCTTTGAATAAATAAAAAATGATTATTGCATAATTTTAACATGTTTAATCAATAGTTAAGTTGATATTTGAGTAAATAAGCTTTAAAGTTGATATGTTGTAAAGATTACATCTTGCCTACATTTCTTGTCCTCAAGCTTGCAAAATATTTAATCCCTAACACTCATTTAAACAACTAAACAGCAACTAAAAATGCTAAGAGTATTCACACTCTTAGCATTTTTAGTTGCAGCCAAAAGAAAAGCTTTGAAAGTTTATTCATTGACTATCTCTTGTGAAATGCAATTGGTATCTTCTTCCACTCCAAAACCATTAAAGATTGTCACCTAGTACCTGCAAAATTTAAAGATTCGGCAAAATAAATAAATGTTGTAAAGTGCTATGAGACTTTTCCCAGAGAAATTTCGATTGTTTAAATTATCACTAAGAAACTTCTTTCCCTAAGCTCTTCAATTAAACATTGATAATTTACTATACACTGTTTTTATTTAAATGAAATTCTTTTATATGTTATATTAAAAAGTGCAAAAAAAGCCATATATTGTCACAAACAAAGATTTGAAATTAGTCTGATAAATCAAATAGATTTATTAAAAAACTTGTAGTATACCAGGAACGAAGAGACCGACATTTTCATGTGATATACGCCAATACAGAAATGGAAATAACGTAATGGAATATTTTAGAAATTTCTAAAATATTCTATTTAAATAATAATAAAACCTTATTTGTTATACACATTAGGGATCTACAAGTTGCCAGATCAGTACTAGTTTGCTCAAGTAAACTAGCACATTTTTGACAATATTTATAGAAATATATAAATGATAGCCATAGCTATATTACATGTTTCATGTGAGTTTCTGCTTAATTAAAAAATTACATTATAAGTGAAGATATTTTTATGAATTTTTAATAACCTAAAATTCGAATTATTAATTACTTTGATAAATAAATAGGTTGTTAAAAACAAGGAAAAAAAAGATTAATACATTAAATTTAATAACATACTTATTTGATAAATGTCACAATAATATAAATATTGTTAATTTGAGAAAGTTTTATTGCTATAGATTAATAAATAAATAAAACAAGCTTGAAATTGAATAAATAAGAAGATATATTAATGCATAAATGTACACATACCAGATGAATAATTGGAAATATTTGAGGTTCCACCCACACTATATTTAATTTTTCAAATTCAGTATTGTTCGTATTATTTCGTACTAATTTAGTAACCAAATGGAAGAAATAACGGCCTAAACCAGATGCTTCTTCTCCAACAGCTAGGACTAAATATCTGTTTGGGTCTAACAGCTAAAAAAGAAAATTAAATTTTAAAAATAATCAAAACAGTCAAAGAAGTATATACACAAAAATAGTTTCTACAATTTAACACTGTTGGAAAAAATATAATAACAAAACTTTATATCAGAACTACAGTTTGCTTAAGTTTAAAAAATATTTTTCTTTGTGACAAACATGCAAATGTTTGGCAGAGTTGCATCATAATATAACAAGTTCGTTTTATTTCTTGAAAATTTTAAGTAACAAATTCAACAAATTTGGGTATAATTTGACTTTCATTAAGAAAGGTATAATGATATGTGCTCTTTAAGAAAGATTTAAATTCAATTTAATTTATTTTTTCTAGGGTTTATATTTCGTTGAAAAACTACAATATATTTTTCATATTCTAGTGACTTGTCACTTTCACTAGTATTTTGCACTTGATTGTATGTATGAACTGTGCAGAGTAACTACTACAGAACAGCATGTCTTCTCTACAGTTTGGATGAATATGAATAAGTTGACTGCTGCTGTGCCAAGATCTTTATTAATTAGAAGACTGAAACTGGAACAAATTTTATATTCTTATGTAAGACTTTGACAAGAGAGTAAAATCTCACAATAAATGGTTAAAAGGTACCAAAATTGTGTCTAGAAACTTTTAATCATGCAGTATTGTATTCCAGCTGATCAATTGCTCAATACAATTGATTATTAAAACCTATTTTTTTTTAAAAGCTAAATTTCATTGATGAAAATTAAAATCTTAACTGCTATTTGTTTTTAACAAATGTAATAAGCAAAAATAATTAACATAATTGATAAATTAAATATTTCATAAAGAAGTTTTTTATTTATATTTTTAAAAAGCATATTGAGTTGTTGAGGTTTCAATATATATCTAAATAATGTATACAATAATAATAATATGCGTTACAAACAAGCATGACTTTTTCTTGACAATTCATAATTCTTAACCAAAGTTCGTACTTAATTTCAGGAAAAAAAAAAATCCTTAAAATTCTCAAGCAACGCTGAAATAAAAAAGGAGCCATCCAATACTTCAATCAAGAAAACAAGAGAATAATATTTGTAGAAGACAAACACTAATAACACTTTAACACCATGAAAAATTAAAAGTTATATGCATCATTATCAATAGAAATTCATTATTCCAATATCTTTATATACCTATAAATTAATAGTTGAGTTTAAATAATTTCCAATATGTTAAGGAATTTCAAATAAGAGACTATTTATCATTAACCACGAATAAACTTTAAGAAAATAACTCATATTCTTAGTTAAAAAAATAATAACTAAAATCCCCATAATTAAATATATTTATTGTCATGAAGAAATAATCAAAATTAGTTTAGTGAGTAAAACAGACTTATTAAAACACTTCTAACATATAAGATACAAAGAAACTGCCATTTCCATCATACAAAACTTAGTCAAACAATACAGTAAATAATTTCTTATAGAGTTTCAGTAAAAGCTATTTCCTATTAACAGAGATGACATTGTGCTACATTTGCCTTGAGAAAAAAAATCTTTAAAAGGGTAAAAAAAAGTTCAAAAATTAAAATTTTCCAGGTTTTCAGCAAAATTTTTCCTTTTCTTCTAGAGCGTTCCTTGAGTTTTTATAAGGTTATTTGTAACTCTCCAGGCATGTTCTTACTGAGGAATATAAACCTTTTTAAACCTCAAAGAAAGAGAATCACTGAATATATTCTTGACTATGTATTGATATTTCATTTCATAATACTGAAAATACTCGTTTTCTCAAAATAAATGAACCACTGAATAAATTCTTGACCATAAATTAATATTTCATTCTATAATGCAAGAAAGACTTGGTTTTTTTCTCAAAGTGAGTAAGTCATGAATATATTTTAAACAATGAATCAACTATTTCATTTCATAAAACTGGAAAGACTTGTTTTTTCTTCTTCTCAAAACAAAAGAACCATTGAATATATTCTTGACCACAAATCAATTATTTCATTCATAATACAGGAAAGACATGTTTTTTTCTCTCTCTAAGTAACTGAGCCACTGAATATTTTCTTAGCAATGAATTAACTATTTCATTTAATAAAGAAAAGGTGGCTCTAATAGTTTGCCAGCAGAGTAGTTAGAAGTTTGGGTCTTTTTAATTTTATTTCTTTTCACTCCATAAACCGGGAAGTAATTATTATGATTTATTTATTATTAATCTTAATAATATACTAGTCAATAATGCAGTTAGAGAAAGTTATTAGTAAAATAACTCTTTATAAATAACTTAAAAAAATTTTTTTTTTCCTTCTTTAAAACAGCACTTGTATTTTTATGTTATTTTTAGGAACTATTTCACTCAATTATTTTAAATTTTGTCTCGTAAAATTAAACGATGCAAAGATCTTTATACAGAATTTAAAATTATTCCTTATACTATATTTCAGTGTAATTTCGTTCTCTTTTTAAACATGTGTCCTCTTTTACAAAATTATCATAAACCAATGAAGAATTTCTCTTCGAGGTAGATTTTGAAAACACAAATTTTTGCTAAAAATTGCTACATTGTCTCATACTTAAACTGAGTTGCATAATAATTGCCAGTGTTAAACTAATTTATTAATTTTTTTCATACATAACTATAATATTAAGTTTGGAAAAAAATTACACAGTAAGGGGCAATTATTTTTTGCGAATATAAAAACAAACTCTGGAAAACAACGTTTGATGTTCATAAAAACTATTAAATAATCGTTCTTACTTTAGGATCATAAAGATTATGTTCATTAATCTTGGATAAAATGGAGCCTTCATTGGTATTTACCAAAGCTTCTATATCAGCGGCAGATGCAGGCTAGAAAACCAAAAACAATCTAGATAAGTAAACAAACTAAATTCAAAGTTTCATTACATTTATTAAATTAACGATATTTTACTTTGCTAGACTGATTATAATGCTACAAAAATAATAATGATGATTAGAGAATAGTACTTTTTAAAGTTATTACTTTTCAATATTGTTAAAAATAGCTTAATAAATTTTTTTTTTAACATTACATTTATAATGATATCTGTAACTTGACAAGGATTTAATCAACTAATAAACTTATAGCAAAAAATTTAGATGAATTTTAATAGAAAAATCTTATTATATAGAGGATGATAAAAAACTTTAAACTTACATTTTGTGGACATGGGATTGGTGTTTTACTAAATGGTTTGATTAATTGAATTTCCCCAACTGTTGTTAATTTGAGGTGTTTTGCAACCTTAAAATGAGAATGGATTAATCAATATCAACAATAAGTAAAAATCATCATATTTTACTGAATGCTTTTAATAATGTTGCTTCAGCTAATGGATTAACTTAAAAATCTAAGTGCATTACAGATAATTTCTAAACTTTAGTAAACAACTTATTTTCTATACAGTAAAAACAGATTGATAGAATAACAACAATAACAAAAATTGACATTATAAACATACTCTTAATAAAAATTGGTTTGGCATATGCAACTGCATATTCTAAACTCAAAAAGCAGATGAAATTTTAAAGCATTAAAAACAGCCTGCTTTTAAAACCATAACGAAACAACTGGATTAACGAATATCAGCAATAAAAAAAAAAGACAGTAATAATCAAAGTGCAGAGAGAAATTCTACAACATGTTATAAGGAAAGATCGTACATAACATCTTTAAAAAGAAATTATTTAATTAATAAATATTATGCGAAATAAAAATGCATTACAGTAGTGCATATTAGGATGAATAAAAAGTTCTGCTGTTTATATATCTAATAAAAACCACAACCCCATTATTTTGGTAGTGTTTTTAATTTACATTTGAGGAAATAATAAGCCAATAGACTTTAACAGGCTTTATTTACTGGAGTATGGTGTAAACAGAAGTCTCACCCACTCTCCCAGCTATAGGGGGTGGGGGTGGTGGACTAATATCAAGACAGTAGTGGCGAAGGTTATGTTGGCAACATCGTACAGCAAAAGACACGCAAAAACAATTGCTCCTGCATTATATACTAATGAACAAAAAGGTGAAAAGGCTCAAATCGTACATACGTTGTAACTCTATGCATAATCGACAATCATTTAATGCTTCCTAATATGGAAGTGAAAGAGGGACAAGATTCTAAAAATAACTCCTCCTTTGAAATATAAATCTAATTATAATTCAATGGTATGTTTTCATCCTTGAGGTCCCAAAATAGAATTTCTGCACCTATTCTTTACCAAATACATTTTATGAAAACGAAAGAGCTTTAATGGTTTTATTAATACAAAAGTATTTATAATTTTTGTATTACATTTATATATACACATAGAGAGAGAGAGAAAAANCTAAAGTAGCTTTTAGCTCAAAATGCAGATAAAACACCCAAAAACAGCTTACTTTTAAAAGAACAACAATTGGATTCATCAATGTCAGCAATAAAAAAAAAATTAATAATATACTTATAAGTCTCAGGTGCAGAAAGAAATTTTCCAAACATGTAATATGATAGTACATATTTTTCAGCAGAAACTAATTAACATTATGTGAAATAAAACATATTACACAAGTGCATATTTGAATGAATCAAAAGTTGTGATGTTGCATACATTGTTGCAGTTAGATCATTAAAATAATTAGATTATTCAGCTGGTCATTATTAAACCAAGACAGATTTTCAGATAATGAGATTTTACACCAATTGTTTAAATACTGTACTGGTATCTTAACTATGGTTCAAAATATTTTTTTCTTTTCTGAATTCATATAACTTTATAGTAGATAAAGTAGTTATCATGCTGTCTCATTCATACTACCTTTTTGTACCTCTAAAAATTTACCATACATAAACTAAGGTTTAACATATATTAGGGTTGCATAATTTCTAGTCTGAGGACTAAACACAACCTTTGATTGGCCCATCTGTCTTCCCAAATACTAATTAAAAGAAACTACATAACTAGTATTAGAAATTTTATAATTGTGTTTCAAACTAGTTTTAATAAACTTTAAAAAATAATCATATTATTACAATAAGAATCAAAAATGTTGAGCTACGAACACGGAGTGTGAAATTTTTGGTCTTTAAAAAAATAGATTTTTTTGAAAAATAATTGGGTTCTGGATATGATTTAGTTATTAGTTAAAATTTTTTTTTATTGAAAGAGAGCATGTTTAAAACTGATGTAGTTTAAAGGTTTAATTGAAAACTAAGGTATCAGCCACTTATATGCAAACAAAAAAAAAATTTTTTTTTTTAGATGAAGTTTAAAATCTACCTTAATTTTAATAATGAAGACAAAGTAAGCACACATTATATACATTTTGCTGCATTTAGTCTTATAATCTTTAGGACAAATGATACAGTTTTTATTACACCAAGGAGTAGTTTAATTGCGATCAATTGAAGCAAAAATCAAATTCATTGCCACTCCTTAAAGTTATATATTTATGAGTCATGTATTAAATTTGTTATATGCTATTTTTTTCAATAAATAAATTTTGCACAAACTTTGTGTTGAAAAAAACTTTAGGAGAGACCATTAAAATCTCTCCCAGCGACTGGGCAAACATCTGCACCAAATGTGGAAAAGGTCAAATAAGGAAACACAAGAAAATATCAACACAAAAATTTAACCAAACAAATAAGTTGTCATTTGGAATCATTTTTATTGACGATAAATTTTATTCACAGATCCGTCTTTTCATGATGCCAACAGAAGTGGCATTTCCGCACCAAGAAAATGCCACTGCCTAAAGTTAAAATCGTTTGCAAAAAATCATGTACTTCGATAACAATTTTGCAGTCAATGGAACTTCTAAGAATGACCAACTTTCATCTATGATCATTTTACTGTGGAACAGAGAGTGGTCGCTCTCAAGAGGTTTCACTGCACCAATAGAAGAACAGGACAGAAAATACATTATTTGAAAAATGTTTAAGTTATCTTCTAATGCTAGTAACACAAAGATTTAACTGAATAAGATTAAATTTCTGTATAAATTATTGGTGTAAATATGAAAGACTAAGATAACAAAAGTGATCACAGAAACGTTAGTTTAATTGATGAAACTAATTTTACAAAAATTAGAGAATGATTTACAAATAAGGCACATCCAAAATCCAATGACCTCAATCTTTATCAATCTATGAATTTTAAGTTGATTTCAAGAGAACATTGTTGACGGCATGGTCATTTTATACAACTTCAGAAATAATTTAAAACATTGGAGATTTAGCCATAAAAATTAAAAAGAAAAAGGAAAAAAAAAGTTGCTGATTTCAGAGGAATCTTATGCCAGATTTCTCCCTCCCCCCCTCCATTCAGATCATCTGCATTATAAGTTATTAATGTCATGTTTCCAGATAAAAAGATCAAAATATTTCATACCACTCTGTCAAATGCAGCATAAAAAGTAACAGAAGGGCTGAGGCGTGCTGCTGCTTCTTCAAATGCCAAATAGTCTGAAATTGAAAGAAAAATTATAAACAAACAATGTCTGAAAGATTTTAAAGCTTAAATAGAATGAAAATTACATCAGAAAAGTTTAAAAAAATAGAAAATGTTTTAAAGAAATGAACCAAATTTTTCAGCATTTGATTTAACTGTTAATGTCTTATTAAATTACACTAGTCTTTTAGGGTGCAAAATTTTGCTCAACCACAAAATAAAATTATTTTTGAGAGGTAACTTTACAATGAAACAGAAAATAACTTATCAATGGGAAATAATAGACATAAATTTGAATTTCGTAAGTTGATTAAATTCACTTAAAGTCCATAAATTTGTTTAGAGAACTTTTCATTGTTGCATCTATTCAGAATCAGAATGAAGATTACACAGAGTTATGTAAAACAGTTTTATGTCACCATTTTAACCGAACTAATTTTGAGACGTTAAAAAAAAATCATTCAGCTGCAAAGCCAAGAAGATAAATAAATGAAAAAAAAAATCACATTCTAATTACGTTAATACTTAGAAAAAAGCTCTTCTATTTTTTTGTTGCTCCGTAATTCAAAAAATAACTAACTAAAAGTGTTGAGTACATCTGACTTTTCATTATTTGATCCAGTTTAAGTGCATATTTAAACATACCTGTGTCATCCTTATAGAAGTTAATACAGAACCTATACCTAGAATGACAGGGGGGGGGGAGGCAGAGAGACTCCTTAGGCATTTAGGTAGATAACCCAAGGTAGTTTTGAGTATAAGGTACCCTAGTTTTTAATAAAAATAACAAGAGTATTTGACAAAAAGGAAACTCTATTTGAAAAGGAAACTCAATTATCTACGAAACTATTGAATACATATAAATGAAAAGCCAGTGTTCCATTTTATCAAATATTTAGTTAATCAAATCGAATAAAATACCATTTTGAAAAATATAATATAATAAATAAAATACCAATTTTGATGACAAAGTCTTTAATAGATATCATATTAGATTAATTATGATTATATTTTAAGATTTTGGATGTCTAATTGATCCACTAACACACAATCTGGAAAGGGCCAAACTTGTCCCTTCAATTTTTCTATGTATACAGCAATGTTCAGTCTTTCTAGTGTTAATAACTGTTTCCCAAATGCAAACCTATGAAAATTTTGTTAAATGAGAAAAAAGGTTGTCAGTGAAGAAGTGGTTTAATCATGCTAATTTAAAACAAAAATTATCTCTCAAATTACAGAGAAAATTTAATCTTTTAAAGATATATGAATTTGAAATGACTCAATGTGAGAAAAGGTAAAGATTAAAAATTGGTGCTGATTCTGTGAAATAAACAGTTTTTTGAATACATAAAAATATCTTTAGTTTTACCAGCTGTGCCTTGCATGAAGAATCCAACTAATTTGACATTTTCTACAGCATCAAAAGCAACTTTTTCAATTTTTCCAGTAATAATATTAACTTGAGTTCCATTGACCTGAAACATTATTAAAGGAGAACAATTGTACTTTTAACGATATAGATTGAGGGAAGAAAAGAAAGTAGAAAAACAAAGAAATACTATATCAGATTTTTTCCCCAACATAATCTGATCACTTAAAATGTTTTCTTTTTTTTTAAAGTTGAAGTTTATTGATAACAGAATTTGAAGAGATTAAGAAACACAGACTTAAATTTATTAGATGTGTTTTAAGAACTGATACTGATGACATAACAAAATGTGCTCTTTCTTGGATGCCTGAATATTGTTGTAACAGAAGCAATCACAGGATGCTAGAGGACTTAAGACAGAAGGAATTGAAAATTTAAGGGGTGACCAAAGGTGCAAACGAAGACCTACTAGCTTACAGTGCAAAAAGATTGGAGAAGAACTAGATAATAGAATTTAATAAAATGCTACTAGTGAGTTTATATGAAATAACAATAAAAAAGAATAGAAATAACTAATTACAAGAAACAGAAATAACTAATGAGCTTCGGAGAACTTAATTTGACTAAACTTAAAAATATGTTTTAGAGCAGTGGTTCCCAATTTTTTTAGCTACACAACCATAAAAAATCAACCTTTTTTCAGCAATACCTTGATCTTATAAATAAAGTTTAAGGTAATTGTGAACATTTTCACAAGGTTTAAGGTTATTGTGAACAACCATATACATTAACTCTAATCAAGATTGTTCCTTTTCTATAAACAGTTTAGTATTCACTATTTTAAACTATTGAGATTTGGAGGCTCTTCATTTCCCTCTTGACACACAATCTGCTTAAATTAGATTAATATAGTTACATTATTGTTAAGAATAACAACAGAGTATTGGTGAAAATAGATTGAGAAACTTTATAACCTTGTTAACACAAATTTTTTCTATCTAATGTATCTGGTGCCAATTCCTTTTGACAAAACTTAGGAAGGTCACACTACATTTAAATTTTTCTAAATGGAAATTTATCAATAAATATTTGACTAAATTATAGTGGTGTTTGTTTAAAATATGCAGAACTGAATCTTTTGTTTCAACCCTGATGAATAATAAAGTGCTTTAGAATTAGAATGTGTATTTGTCTACAAACCAATTTCTTGCATTGATTTTATTTTCATGTTTTCTTCCTAACAAAAATAAGAAGAAAAAAGAAGATAGATCGTATGTCTATCTTCGGGATGTCTGTTTAGGATTATTTAATTAATTTGTTTGAAACAGTATTTTAAACACATTCAAAATACATTGATATATTTATAATATTTCCTTACTTCAACATAAAAAAACAGACATTTTAACTCAAATTTTAAATAAATGATTTAATAAAATTCGTGCATAATAAAAGTAAATTAATAAAGTTTAACATGACTATTGGAAGCATGTCGAAGTTCACATACTTTAAAAAGATGATTTAACAAAGCTCTTGTAGAACGTTTTCCAAAATATGGAACTCCTTTGCCTTTCTTATAAATGAGCACATCACCTGGTTTTGCTTGATGAGCTACAACAAAAAACATTTAATTTTTAGTTTTCAGCTGAAAGGATAACAATCTTTTAGTAGAAAGTTATAATTTTATAGAATATCATTTTAAATGCTATTGCACACATATCAACATAGAACGAAAATAGGTCTGTCTAGGGGCCTTTCAAAATTCTAGGGACCTTCCGATAAAACTCAAGATAAAAAGGTTCCTTTGTAAAATTCCAAACTACTGAAACATACCTTTTACAAAATTCTAAATTTCATCCATATGTTTCTTTTTTTTGTTTGAAAATTTACATATTCTTTTATAAATGCAGCTTTTTCAATAAAATCACACATTTTGTAAAATTCAGACCCAAGTTCTTGGGTTGATAAAAGTAATTTTTAAAAAATTCCTACAAAAAAAGAAAAAAAACTCTTGCAAGAAATTTTAGATAGACCCTTGATTACGCTTGTTAAGCTCATGCCTAAACATCACAAGTAAGTCGCTCCATTTGGTATTCTTTAAAATTGACTTAATTCTTAGTTAAGTTCATTCGACTTAAAGTTCTCAAAATTATATTTTCCATTCATAATTTCTTAAAATAAAATAAATAATTATGAAAATATTTAAATTTTATTTTAAACTTTCAATTTATATGTTATCTAATTAAATTGCTAACAAAGTCTTAATTAATAAAATTTTAAACAGTTGGCGATTCAAATATAATTCTACATTTTAACAATTTTAGCACAGACAACAATCAGAAAATTATCACTGAGCATTTTGATAGTATAAAAAGAAAGTTTGATTATTTGTTCATGCCTTTTTATGGTGTGAAGAAATAAAATTTACACACAATTAAGTATTAAGAACAGTGGCATAACTAGAGGGACATCTGGTACAGTGATGTAGAGATGATAAATTCCTAAAAAAGTACAATGAATTTCAGAATAAAATGTTTTTCTTTTTCAAATATCCCCAGTTTCATTTGCTAATTACAACCACATAACTTCGTAAATTTTTTAAAAATAAATTTTAAGAAGATTACTGTAGTTTGTTATGCACATAGTTTTCTTTTAAATTATTTTTAACAAAGATGCCTTATTGAATGAAACATGCTCTTACAATTAACCTATAATTTAATCAATTAAGAATAATTAACAGGATCAAAAACATCTATGACACAGAAATAGAGTTAGTAACCAATAAATTTAATAAATAAGTTTAAATAATATAATAATTGATGAATTTAAAACCAAAGTGAATGAAAAATTATGAAGTTACATTATTTAAAGGTTCAAAATTTTATTCAATGAAAAATTTTATAATCTAATGTACAGTAAAAATTTTATAATCCAATGTACAATAATTTTCAGTTTTTTCATAATTTAAAATTTCTAGTCCCAAAAGCCCAACATGATTTTGAAAGGGGGCACACAAACTAAGGTCATCCCCAGGTGCCGTTAACTCATCTTCCGCCTCTGATTAAGATTAAAATATTATATTATGAATTAAATTCAACGTAGCTTAAGTATAAATGGGAAAAAAATATTAATAAATTAATATTCTTATCAGACAGAAAAAAATTACAATGCAAAAAATAAATAAATAAATAAAAGAAAAAGTTACCAGATACATCAGGACTTTGGCTAGGTGAAACAACCTCAACTGATGCTTCACAAACAATACTGTTTTTCTTTCTTAGTACTTGTGCTGTTATCTACAAAATAAATAAACATTTAGCAAACTGTTAAAATATTACATTTTATTCAATAGTAACTTACAAATTTACTGAGATAAATTATATTTATTTTAAATTGAAACAAAAAAATTCTATCAATGTTTATAAAATTGTTCAAAAAATAAAACAAGATTTTTCCTTAAAAAAAATCAAAATAGAATAATTACACCTAAATGGTTTTATTTTCAATTATAGATTACACAGAAAAAAAATAGAAGAAAGTGATTTACAAATTGACTTGTTTATAATAAACAAAAAGTAAAAAAGAATACCTTTTATACATTCATTGATTTTGTACAAAACAGTGATTGTAAAAAACAGACTTTTTACAAAATTAGAGTCTATAAATGGACACTTTACAAATGTTTTTTCCAACATATTTAACATAGAATTTGAAAAAAAAAGAGAGAACTTGATGCAAGGTAGTTGGTTGTTTTCAAATTTTGGATTAGTTCGATCCAAAGTGTTCATTGCATAAAGAACAGAAAAAAAAAAAGAAAACTTTCATTTATATTTAAATATATCAATACAAAAAGAATAGCATTATTTCGAATTTTTATTTAGGGAACTTAAATTACATAATGAACATCGCATACCCTCGCAACAGTATCTTAACTCCAAAATTTAAATTTTTGTATTAAAACCATCATTAGGATTACAAAAATATGCTCTACCAATTAAGTAAGCTCTACAATGATTTAAATTTGCCCTAGCTGACGATCGTAAGACAATGACTTCATGATTAAATAATAGCAATTGGAAGCAATCTTAGGCACTTCCTGGAAAATTCACTTTCTTTAGTTAAGTTAGCTCTGGTGAGATTCGGTTAATAGTAGAAAATCTCGGGTTAATAGTAGAAAATATTAATAAACAGCTAAATTATGCCAGAAAGCTTGTAAAATAACCAAAAGTTTTTATACTTTCGAAAATATCACGATATGTGGAATCCAATTTACATTGAATATTATGGAATTTTACATTGAATATTATTTATGGAAATCTGAGTATAAGTACCTATTATAGCATTGGTTTATGAATGAATCGGGTACTTCTGGCGTCATATAAGAATAAAATTAATAAAATAAAGCAATTTAGTGATCTTTGGAAAGGAACATCAGCTTCTAGTCGTTCGTTGAGATCGCATATATTACTTTGAATATCACATCGTCAAAAGAAGAAAACGAATAAAGTTTCGCCTCATTTTAAAATCTATTTCATTTCTAAATTTAGAAGGGCACATCTTGAAAAATTCTGCTGAAATGTGAAGCAAATTAGTAAGAATCGTCAATGTCAAAAGTTTTGTTTTTGTTTACAATTCTACAATTGACGCTTTTATTCTTTACGGTTAAAAGTTAATTTAAGAGAAGGAAATAAAGAGGCCACGGTGGCTGACTGGTCAATATATGACCGCAAGAGAAAAATAAAATATAACTTAAACTTCTATTTCAAATTTTGATTGGAAAAATACATACATACTGTTGTGACGAAGAATCATAATTCCTCTTACAAAGCATATATCAGAATCGCTGTATTATACTAAAATTAAACAAAATCTACAAGACGTAAAAGCACAAAAAATAAAAAAAGACGCATGATAAAGCCATGCTTTTTGTTTTAAAAAATAATTAAAATAGATTTCTTGAAGATATTTCTTCTTCGTATTTTTCTTAAAGGAATCTTTTTATTTTGACATAACTCAACATAAAACTTACTTGGAAATATTTTATTACATTTTCAGTATGAATGGTTATTCAATATGAAAGTTAACAACATCAATCTCGAGCTAACAACATCATCCGGTTAGAAATTATACAGCTGCTTACTACAGCTTATGTATGGTGTTTTCTACACTAGGAAACGCTGCCAGCTCCATACCGCCTATGCTTCGGGGTTACTGTTTCCGGTGTATTTTAAAGCCCTTTGGCTCACAACGTGATCATGACACTTTTTTTAACAATATATCTATAAATAACTAAAACAAATTTTCACTTCAAACTCACCAGAATTACTTAATAACATTAATATCTTATGAAATATGGCAGATTTGAGTGCAGAAATCACCTAATTTACTTCTTTTGTCGAAAACAAAATTATCCGTTTGAAAGTATCGCCTCGCAGAATAAGCTGTAGTACGCAGTTGTAAGCTTTCTAACAGGAACTAAAGCTGGTATTGAGCTCGAGATTGTTATTGCTTACATTTATATTGAAAACACCATCCATACCGCGAAAAGATATTTTCAAACAGATAATTTTGTTTTTAATAAAAGAAATAAGTTACATAATTTCTGTTTAAAATATGCTGTATTTCATAAGATATTAATAATTTTAAGTAACTTTGGTAAGTTTGAAGTGAAAATTTGTTTTTGTTATTTAGAGACGTATTGTTAAAATATGTTACATGGTTGACAGTTTTATAAATAAATCACTTTTTTGGCATCTCTGATTTAGCCTCCTTTTACTTGTTTATTACTGTTTGTTCTTGGTTCAAGCCGTGCACCATCATACCTTAGTGTCAGCATGTTATTCGAGCAGCGAGATTAAGTTAATTTTACAAATTATCATTTAGGTTTGAATTTCGAAGCTGGTATATTGCTAATAAGGTAAGAAGTACTTTATAACGGTTCTTTTTTCAAAGGACAATTCTTACATCTTGAAATGACAGGTCTTCAAATGACGATTTTTATTACGATTTTTTTTTTAAACAGTAATAATAAATCAGGTAACAAATATACATATACAAGAAATACTACTCAAGAGATTCTCAGAACTCAATGATTACGATGTGAGCCAAATAGCTTAAAAAAGCATCAAAAACAACAGTAACCCGGAAGTACAAGCACTCCCTATAGTTTTCTACATTATAGTGTAGAAAGCACTATCCATAGGTAAGGTGACAAGACGTTATGAAATCTTAAGGATACTCTTCAAATTTCAATAGTTGTCCAAAAAAAATTTTAATGTCATTCTGGATGGAATATGTTTCCGAATTTTAACATAGTCCTCAAATATTCCTTTGTCTTCAGTAAATTACAAATTAAAGTGAAGTCAATATTGTTTATAAGCAATGTCGACAATGTTTAATAAAACAAAAAATACGAAAACAACAACAACTATAGTTGTTGTTGTATTCGTATGCCTGTTAAGTCAGAGTGGTGCGATTGTTCTTGTTTTCCAATGGCAATGTGCGATTGTTCTTGTTTTCTAATGCATACTGTTTGCATATTTTAATGTTTGAAGTAATATGATTCTTAAAACTATGGAATGTTAAGTTTAAATAGGTCTTTTATGTTTTATCATTAAATTTAGTAAAACGATTTCGCAGGTATTACGTTTTAACTCTAATAAGAATATACATATTTTATTTAGAAACATTTTTCGATGTGTTTTGGATGTTCCTTCTCTAAAAAAAAAAGAGATATCATGTTGTTTTCGCTTCCATAAGAAAGAATATCAAACAATTTTATATTTTAAATTCAATAAGCCACAATAAAGAAGGAACGTTACAATGCTACACGCCACATTAATGACATCTCCAGAGCAACTGAATGACTATTCAATGTTCACATGGATGGTGTTTTCTACACTAGGGAACGCTGCAAGCTCGGCGCCGCCTAAATTTCCGGGTTACTGTTTCCGTTGTATTTTAAAGCCATTTGGCATCATTGCGTTTTGAGATTCTTGTTAACACTAAGGTAAGATGGTGCACAGCTTGCAACAAGAGCAATCAGTAATAAACTTATGGAAAGAGACCATATCTAGACTGCCAAAAAAGCGAGTTATTTAAAATATAACAACCATGTCACCTTTTTCAACAATATATTTCTAAATAACTAAAACAAATTTTCACTTCAAACTCACCAGAATTACATAATAGCATTAATATCTTGTGAAATACGGCAGATTTGAGCTCAGAAATCATCTAATTAATTTCTTTTATTGAAAACAAAATTATCCGTTTGAAAATATCGCCTTGCAGAATTACATGTAGTAAGCAGCTGCAAACTTTCTAACCGGAACTAGAGCAGACATACAGCTTGAGATTGTTATTGTTTACATTTCTACTGAAAACACCATCTATAGAAATCGCAGCTATTCGTTTCATACAACAACGCCCCCTATAGTTCGTTGCGATCTCGAATTAGTAAAACGTAGTAGAAAGTTTATTTACAGATCATGAGACATTATTAGAGCATGTCATGAGCTCGAGATTGTTGTTGTTTACATTTTTGCATTGAAAACACCATTCATACAAAATACTTTCCAACGCTTGCACCGATAATATTTTTTATCACGTTTTCATCAAAATAAAAATGTATGTAAAATATAAGTAAAAAAATTGAGAATTTGATTGGCGCATTCAAAGGAGAATTATTAAGCCACATTCAGAAGGAATATTCTCTATGTTTGTTAAAAAGTGTGAATTATATTTTAAGTTTTTGTTGCAGTATAATTTTCTGAAAAAAAATTTAAATGTTGATTTATGTGAAAATTATAAACTGAATCCATCGAAAAGTCAATCGTTAAACGATTAATAACTGTTTACAGTCAAACTATAAGCTTCTCAAAAGTTGAAGATATTTTTGAGTAGGCTCCAAAAGCTTCGTATCGTGAAAAAGATCCAAAGAACGCGCAATCCATATTTAAGTCTGAGAAGCTATATTATTCGCAACAATTAGATTCGTAATTTTATGTTCTTTCACTTCTAAGGTTGATAAATAATGCTAAACAAGGAATAAAAAGTTTTTTTTTTATGAAAAGATATATATTTTTATATTGGCCTAATAAGGATAAATTTAAATAAGAAAAAAAGGAACAAGAAACATGTTAGAAGAATGAGAACTAAAATATTAAACTTTTCTCAGCGTTTTTATGCCAACGGAAAACAATAGAGTAATATATCATAGGGAAGAAATATTTGAAGGCACTCATAAAATAGGAAAAATGAAGAGCCCGATGGAAGAACGCATGAAAGTAATTACCTATTAGAAGATTTGAGAAAATTTAGGATTATTACTGAATAAAAACATTAGGAAAGCTATTTTAGGAATTTTTTTTTTTTTGATACTATGTCGGAATAGGTTTTGATTCTCAGAAATCAAACTTAAACTTCTCAAAATAAGTTTGTAACATAACTTGAAAAAGCTAACTCTTAGCGCATTTATAATACCGCAATTGAAACACAACGTTAATCATAACAAAAAACACAATATTAACAATGATCGAGAACAGTTGTGGCGTCTTTACTTTTCACTATTTGTGTGATAAAATACGCAGCGTCATCAAAATGAAAGAAAAAAAATTAATACCTGTGATATGTCTCTCTATTCTCGAAAATATGATTGAAAAAAATGAATACCTGTAATATGTCTCTCTATTCCCCAAAATATGATTAAAAAAAACGAAAAAAAAAGGAAATTTAATATATTTAGAATAATATTCAATCAACATTTAACAACTTTCGTCGTTGTTGGTAACACAAAAAGTAAGCATGAATCAGACGTTACTTATTTGAATTGTCAGTTGAAATTGGGGGAAAAAGAGCGCCAACATGATATTATTTGTAATTTTGATTTAAAACCAAGGTTTAAAATAAATAAACTAATTTTTTTTTCTTTAAAAATTCTCGATGTCTTTTAATCTCGACTTTTCTACAGTAATTCGTCAGATTTCGAAAACATTTTTTGTCTCTTTCTCGCGTATTTATTAATTTGCGTCCTTAAACAGGTACATCATTTTGACTTCATTTTTAACATGAATTCGAAACATATGTATAAATCACAACTACATATGTTTCGGTCACAACTTAACGCTCTATATATCCCCTAATTAGATATTAGTATCAATTCACTCATTAGTTAATAGTTTGAATATAATATCTGAATGAATTCCTTGAATCAAATTATTGAAGCAAAAGTTTTGATTTCTTCTTCGGGTTGTCTCACGTATTAATGGTCCACTATTAATAAAAAAAAGAGTTTAAAAATAATTTTAATCCTTAAGGCAAATGATGCAATTGAAAAGCCGATTAACAAAACACTTCGCCTATCAAACTTTTCACCACAGTTATAATTTAAACTTGCGCATAAACTTTTTTATGGTTTATAAAGGGATTCTATTTCTTTGACGCGTAAATGGCAAGAATGTTTCAAACAAAAAGAGGTAAAAACACGAACATATATAATTGTCTATTCTTAACTACCCGATGCACAATCGGTACTCAAAAAGGCATACACACATCATAAACATTGTACTATTTTTTCTTTGTTTTGATTAATTTCTTTAAACTTTGAAATTAACATGAATTTTATGAATAACAAAAGTTTTTTTTTTATTTACAATATAGATAGATATATGTGGTTTCCTTTTTTGAACCTGCTGCATTTTACTTCAAAAAAATTAAAACAACAAAACAAACAAACAAACTGAAACGCTTTATTTTAATTAAAATATTATGTAGATGTGAGTATGTAGATGCATTAATAATTTACTGTAATCAACGTTAATGTATGATACAAGAAACTATATCGGAATAAATGAAACTCAGATAAATAATTAATGAAGTTATAGTTTACCTCAGCAAAACTTTCTGTTTCAGTAGGACATGTAGTCTTCGGTACTGCTAAATCCTTCACAATAACAACAGCAGTATCAGCCGCGCCGACGATGTTAGTGAAATTTTCTGCTGTTAAATGGCACACTCTTTTTACCCCATCATGTTTTGGGGTTTGTAAAAAATTTAAAATCGAACCATGAACGGTACAAAATATTAACAACAAAGTCACAAATTGCGGATACATATTCACAGAACTTTTTTCTGGTACGATCAAAGAGGTTTACGAAACTGAGAATAGTCTAAAAGTTTCATTTGTCAAGTGTTGTACCGATAAAAAAAATCAAAGATAAGTTTCCATTTACCAATACTCTCAAGAGCACTATTGTTTACATTTATTGAATGATTAAAGTTAAAGTTAGCCGCAAGCGCGTCAATGCAATCTTCGAAGGTGTGAGTCAAACAAAAAGACAGATAAGGAAACTATTGTTCTCCGTGAAGAATTTACATTCTTTTTTTTTGGAGTGGTATTCACTTTGAGAAGAAAGGAAATTTAAGTAGGAAGTACGTCACTTGTTTTTGCTTTTAGCTCATAAATTTAAATGATGTAAAAGAGCAGACGATTTCCGTTTTTTAAAAGCATTCGAAGACGTTTATGTGGTTCCTCATCTCAATTGAGCAGCGGGGAAACAATGGAAAGATCGATTATTATCACTTAGAGAAAAGATATCTTATCAATAGATGCTTAATGTCGCCACACCATGCTTCTATTTTAGGTCTAGAACTGATAAAAAGTTAAAAGTCGTGTTTCGAAAAGGCACAAATCATGAGACATAGTATATTTACGACACTCGTAAGGTGTTATTGATAAATAATTGGAATATAGTTGAAATTTTTTGTTGCTGGGGTTACTCAAGTTCTTTATTTAGTTTTAATGAATTGAAAGATAAAATGTAAAGAATTGTATTAAAAGTTAAAACTTGATGAGGCATTATGTGATAGTAATACAGATGTTCCAAAAAAAAAGAAAAACATTTATTTGAATTACCAGTTACAAAGAATCTGTTTCATAAAAAAATGTTAAAATTCTTTCTCTCTCTCTCTCTTTTTTTTACATTTCAAGGTGTTCAGGTTACATTTCAAGGTTTCATTGATTAAAACTTTTTTAATTATATATTTCCTTAATTTGATTCAAGTTTTAATACTCAGCTATTAATTTAATTTTAATTTATTAGAAATTGGAAACAATTGTGATCAATTCAGAGTAATATAATAATGAAAAAAAATGTTTTGGAATCTTATAAGAAGTTAGCATGATAAATTTTTTTATTCATAAATTTGCATGATGAAAAGGGGGCAACAATACAGACACAATATAAATTTAAAACAACTAAGTCAATCATTAAACTAATAGATGTTTACAAGCACAGAAAATATTGAAAAAAATGAGATTACTTGCGTATATCTGAAAAATTAAGAAAAGTGAGATTAGGTTGCTTTATGAAAAACTTTATTAATTCATGACATTTTTACGCAACGTTTCATTTTTTACTGATTTCTTTCTCATTCGATTTCTTTTTATCAAACTACTTTTTTCGGTACGATCCAAATTTAATTTTTTTAAACATTACAAAATAAATAAATAATCACGTAATGGAAAATTTAACCAATTATGCTAGTTTTATTCACATTTGATAATTATTATAACTTCTTAATTAATTTAAATATATTTTACTATATTTTCGATCAGCATAATTACGCAGACGATAATATTTATTTTTTATTTTACTTTTTTTTGCTTACTGTTTAAAACTTTACTTCGCGTCAGCTAAAATTTTGGCATCAGGTCTTAAAAGATTTTGCACAGTAATTCATTTGGAATATTCTAAATCTACTTTCTTAAACATTTCAGTTTAGTTTAGAACTTTTCAGCGTTATTGAATCATATTTGGTGCTTTAAATAGAATATGTTTCCATAATGATAAAAAATTATACAGTTAGTAATTTTTGTTAAGGTTTCAATCTACTTTAAAATTTGTACTTTATCCAGCTGTTATAAATAAATAATGTAGCAGAACAAATTCTGCAAACAGAGTTCCAAAATGCACCATATAACTTCGCTAGAGAATCGGAATAAATGTAAGTTGTGAAAATTAGTTTATGTTTTTCTTTAATTAATAAAAGTGCTGTGTTCTATAAATTTAATAAATTTAAATTTTTTACGATTAAAACTATATTAACTAAATTCGTAATAAATGATGATTTTGTTTTATATCAATTTATATCATTTCAATTTAAGTTTTGCTCTAATCAAGGATTTGTTTAATAAAATTTTTATGATGTATTTGTGAGCATTTTGTGCTGAAGTTCTGACATATTAAAATAAAATTTTGAACAAAAACAGAAGATAACGCTCACGTTGATGATAATGACATTGATCGAAATAAATATTTTGTACTTATTTAACATATTTTAGGAAGTAAAATTTTACAAAAATATTTACATTTTTTAAGGAGGCATATGATGTGTAAAATTTAATTTATTAAGGTATATTGCTTAAAATTTAAGTGGAAAAAGATATAGACTTTTGTTGAAGTATATATTTTCTTTTTTTTAGAATATATATTTTAACTGTTATATGATTGCTTGGTGCTAACTTTGAAATTCACAGTATCTTTTTTTAAACATAAAAATATCTATTTTGGATGATTTTTTGAAAACAATTGAAAATTGTTTTGAGAAATACCAATTTATGCCTTGTAATTATCAACAATTTAATCGTTAATTCCAATCATAGCATAATTCTTCAAAAGTGATTTTAAACTATTACTTAAAAGGCACGAATTTGTTATTTCGAATTTATAATATTGAGTGGTTTCATTGAAATTGTTCTAAAAGTGTTTGCGAATTGTTCAAAAAGTGTGATTGATTCACTGAAATTCACCAAAAAGTGTTTATGAATTAAAATCACTAATTCTTATGAATGTTATTACTGTCAAATCTTAAATAGATTTTTAGTGATACAGCCTAGCTTTAGTGATACCAGCCTAGCTTAAATAAATAAAACCGAAAATGGTCTTAAAATCCCATTACTCGCTTAAAGCATCAACCACATGATTTAAACTTTCACTTTTGCTATAATATGGTCTTCAATATCTGAAATACACTAATATCTGAAATTCAAATTAAATAACATCTTAGATATGTTGATGAAATTCCTTCGATTGGATTGTAATTCCGATATTGCCACTTATATTTTATTTTAGAAACGCCATTAGATTGCCGACCCATTTCTGAGTTCACACCTCCATTTGAGTTTACTTTGTAATTTTGAGACAAGCCCAGAAGACAAGGGACTTTTGGATTAAGTATTGGACACAAACTAACCATTATGGAGGACTTTTTAAAGGGATTAACCCACATAGGCGCTACATAGAAAAGAAAACCACAAAACCTCTCATAGCTATCCAATTCGTTTCTACCTACCAACGCTAGGATTCGAACCAGGGCCACCTCTTTGGTAGGCGAGGGTTCTATCTCCAGAGCTACCACTACTCAAATTACTTGTATTTTATTTTATTTTGTAACCATCGTTGAATAGCTGAACCAAATTTCAGTTCAGGACTACCAATGTTCACCTCCTTAGCCTGGTTATTAACCCAATCCAGATGACAAGGGAACTTCTGGATCAAGTATTGGGAGAAATTTGCCTTCGTGGAGGAGTTTTTGACGGAACTAACCGGCATTTGCGTTACGTGGAGAGGAAAACTACGAAAACTTCCCGTGGTTAGCCTGATGGCATGCGGACTCTAACCCATGATCCGTCTACTTTGTATTTTACGTCAGTTCTGTGGTCGTTGCGAGCCGAGTGTTGTTTATATTAAATAAACTTAAAGAGGGCTAAATATTATTTTATTACAAGTAAACTAAAATTAACTTTTTGGAATATGCTCTACAAATCCATAACTGGTCGCCACAGAGCCAAGAAATAGACTCTGTTATTCGAAATTTTATAAAATTAGAAAAGTAAATACCTGTTACCTACTTTCCATTCCTTAACATGGCTTCGAAAAATTTGTCTTTGGTCCGAAAAACTTTGGCATTTTTATGGAATTTCACTATCACAATAATTTAGTGTATCACTAAACTTATTAGAATTCAGTGAATTAAATGTTTTATATCAACATCGGTGGTAAAACTGGATATCTTAACGAACAAATGGTATTCGCCAGAAAATATATATGATGCATAAAGTTTTTAAATTTATTTTCTCTATGATGTTATATAAACTTGTATGGTAAAATAGTCTCATTTTGGATTGATTGAAATAGAATAAATTTTCATTCCTTCACTTTTAAAGTTTTTAAATTAAACCTTCCGGAAATTTAAAAAAAAAAGAATATTTTTACAGATTATTTTTTAAGTAAAGTTCATTTTTTAAAATTCAAAATTAGTTTGTACGAAAAGAGAACATATTGATTTTCCTAAATAATACTTTCGGTCAAAGAAATATTGTTACTTGGGAAGTAAAAAGTGCTCTAAAATTAAAAACCAGTTTCCTTTTTTATTTGAATCGTTACACGTGTACTAAACAAAAAAATATTATTTCCTCTTTTTCTGTTGTTTATTTTCTATATGCTATTAAGTTAAAAAAAAAAAGAGAAACAAACAAACTATCTGGCTTAGATGTTTTATATAGCATCAGACAGGAAAAAAAATCCCTTTAAAAGTAATAAAATACTTTTAAAGATAAAAATTATAAAATTTCAAGAGATTCAGCTTTTTTCTTTCAAATTTATCCCTAAAGACTCTCTCTGAAAACTAAAGATGAACAGTGCTTGAGACATTAAAGAATGAAAAGACAGCGTTCTTTACTTACGATTGATAGCATGCTTGATTGATAGTGAGATGGCCTGGCGATTCGAAGAACATAGTAACAATTTCGATGAAAATTGTAGACGCTATGTAAGATTTACGATTTCAAAATAATGCGTCTAGCGAACATTGACACAACTCTTCTCTTATTAAATATACTAGTATTAGAAATCATATGCAAAAAACTTGGTGACATAATGATCTTTAGCGTCATTTTTGTTGATACCAAAATATTGTTGATAAAAAGGAGTAAAATAATTGTTTAATTTCGGTTTAACAAAATTAAGCAACCTCTGCTTTATAAAAAATTACTCAATACTGTAGACTTAATAGCTTATAAAACACTGTGTGCTTATGAAATATGTATAATGTAATATAGAGTGCGTAGAGGGAGTAAATATTATTTACGGAGAATGAGTGGTTACATTTTATACATTGAATTTAATTTTCTTTTTTTTCTTTTTGCTTTAACTTCATTAATGCGCAAATTTTTATAAATGCTTAAATGATTGTAAGATTCTAAGATTTGATAATTATTGTTGGATGAGATTTTATGAGTAATTTTGTTTTAGTTGATATTAGTAGGCCAAGGCGTAATTTGAAATTTTAGTCCGGACTATAATTTAAAAGTCGAGTTATAAGCAGCCCTAATTTTAATTCGTCCTTCTTTTTAAATGTAGACTCAGGAAAGTTTTGAATAACTCTAAAATATTAAGCACAATTTTAAAAAAAATGGGGAGAAAATAATTACTGAGCACATTAATAATTTCGTTACCA